AATCCTCTCAGCTATTGTTGAAACACAAGGATTTATTTGCTGTGAAAGGAGAAACAAAGACTGAGAGAATTTGTCAACAAAAATGTTGAAAAGATTACTAGCTTCGGCTAGTTTTTTCTCCAAAATGTTTACTATTTCATAATTCTGCATAATGTGCATGAAAACGGAGATTCCCCAAAATACATCAATTGTACTTCTGCTACTGGTGAGTGATTAGATTTGCTTTTTAGCAATGCTTTAAGGTTTATGTTGATTTGTATTCTTTGGATTTCTGAATTAGACAGTGTGTTGTTATGCAAAATCTTTATAAATTAAAAAAAGTTGATTGGAAAAATTCCTCTAAACTCTGTTCCTGATGGAATTTGTCTATAAATTGCTTGGACTCCTGTAAAAGTGATTTATTCATCTTTTTAAATAAGCTCTTGGTATAATGGCACAAACTGACATATTTGAGTCTAATCCAGTTTTTCCTAGTGTAAACAAAGCCACACACAGATGCATCACAATGCCTGCACTGCCTTACATTAAGCCTGTAACATTTATGTAATAGCATGCAACCTGTTGACTCTTTTATCACCAATAGATTTGGGAAGGCAATAGCCTGTGAATACATCATTGGTTCGAATTTTGCGGTTCATGATTTATTGACTCTTGCAAAGGAAGTCAATAGCTAAATTAGCAGTCTGTCTGAAGGCAAAATTACATTTATGAGGTGGAGTGGAGGCTGCTGAGCTGAAGTGGATATATGCTTTTAGCAGATATGGATTTGGATTGTTGTTAAGTAATAACTCTAATTCTTTGACCTGAAATCATAAATTTAGAGTTGGGAATTGATTATCCAACTCAAGCCAGCAGTGGAACATGAATTTTTCTGCGAAAGTGACAATAAATCAAAAGAGAGTAGGCAGTAGGCATTCACAGGCTGCAGTCCACCAACAAAGCAACAGGGTAATAGGGCTCTCCCTCACTGCTGCTGTATGCAAACAATGTCCAATTCATTTTCCCTTACACTCTGTAGGTTGTGTTTCTTATTAGTTATATCTAGCCTCTAATTAAATACCTGATTCATCGGGATCTATGACTCCTTATCTAATTACAGGCTGGATATTTACAACAGGAAGGACAGCCGGCTCATCAGGAGTCAGGCCCAGAATACACAGCAGCTCTCTAATTGGAAATTCATTTAGTAGTTCAGGTTTTGATTGGAAGTGGCCCTCAGACCTTTCGATATGTTAAGTACCCACTGTCTGTGCATTGAAATAGATATTGAATTTAGACTGTTATTAAACATCCACTTAGATGCACTTTAATGCGTTTTTTATATATTTACTCATCAGCCAGGAGAAACGTTCATGACATGGATCTGCAGAGGACGTTATCAGTGTTTCCATGCAGTTTGGGAATGTATGAAAAAGCATAAAATGTTAAGGTTTACAGGTCTGGATAAGTATGAACAATAAAAGGAAATAGTTTGTATTTCCTTTTTTCTCCAAAATTTTTACTATTTCATAATTCTGCTTAATATACATAAAAATATTATGTTTTATGAACAATATACATATATTTGCAAATATATATATATATATATTTCCATCCATCCATCCATTCTGGCTGCGCAATATATCGTAAATATAACGTCATCACAGTATTAGTGTCTGATTAGGACTATTTTGACTATTTGGAGTGTTAGAAAATATATTCCAACTGTTATGAACTTGTATTGAATGCTGATGCTAAGCTAAGCCTGTTGGACCGGACCTCATGGCTGAACATTTGCATTCTTTGTTTGAAATGGACAAAATGAATCAAACTCCTGGGTTCAGCTCCCGGTCTCAGGCTGTTGGTGCATGTCTACTCCTCCTCTGTCTTCCCCATATTCTGCCTTTTCAATGTTCAATAAAGCCCACAAGTACAGAAAAGTTCAGTTTTACTGCTGCTCTTCATTGTACAATGGCTGCTGGAAAAGAAGTGTGTTTTGTTGTTGACTTACTATTCAGAAACTATCTACTTCAATCTTGTTGGTTGTGTAGGAGGCTCCACTTCTGCTTTTCAAAGATGTACGGTTGTATAATTGCAGCCATTTTCATGTGTGAGTGTAAACGTACTTCTTCAAGGAAGCATAATGGGTCACCTGTAGCAAGAGTCAAGCTGTTGTGTTAGAGCCTCGCCGTATGGTGCAACTATATCAACATCTCTGTACGCTTGTAATATTAATATTGCAAAGGATTGCTTGAAATGGAGTAATTGCTGAGTAAGATAATACAGCTGCAATGAGGTCACATTTTTCATTGCATTGTAATCATGGGAATGTTAAATAGAGCTTCACAGCAGTAGATTTCCCAACCGGACATGGATTACAGACATGGCTGAAAAGGAAAGTATATGGGACACAGAAGCAGTGGGGAAATTTTGAATTAATGGTCATCACTATTATTTCCAAATATATCTTCATTATGTAATTTCCTAACATTATGCAGCCATATTTGTAGTCGTAAAACTAACAGCCAAAGTAGCAGATGGAGGTCAAGCTAAGGAAATGCTAAACATGAAACGGTGAGAGCGGAGAAAAGCTCCTGCACAAAGCTTCATTATAACAGGGTGGTCTCTTTAAGACTGTCACACTGGACCAGTACCCCATAATGATAGATAGCCTCTATATTTAGATTACTGTGAAAGTAGACTGTCTTGTCCTTCGCTTTATCCTGGGCTCTAAAATATTGTCCCAATTTGAACAGTGCACTGATTACAGAAACAAATTTAAAAAGATCAAGAAACTATCAGAATGAAATTATGAGACATAATAAATGAAAGACGTTCAAACTTTGTGTCTCCATTTGTTACAGTTTTCCAGCCATTTTAGATCCTCTAATGTCATAAAACCAACCACATGTTCAATTTCAATAGTATTTATTTAATTAAATTAAGTATTAAATAACAACAAATACCACGTAGCTAATTTGCACAGTTGGTCTTATGGTTATATAAAACAAAAACATTGTACAAAATCGTGTCTGATGCAGAATGTCTTTTTTTAGAGCCGTTCAGCTTCATTATGCTTTTCAGGGAATTAGTCTAACTGCTCCTAATTTACAATAATCACTCGCGCAGCAGGGCTGCACAGTGGTTAGACAGTTAGCACAATCACCTGAAGATCAACAAGATCTAGATTTAGTTTCAGATTTTCTCTGTGCATGTGGAGCTTTTAGGTGCTCTTGAACTTTAAAGTGAGTTTATTTTTTTGCTACCCTAATGGGTTTGTGTAACCATTATGGATGGCCCAGTTACAGGAGAGAAACACACGGACTTCATGGAATTACAGTGTTAAAATGTAAGTTTTTTTTAACAAAAATGCACAATTAAAAAAAAAAAAAAATCAGTGCAACTTTTATTACTGCTAAAAGACACATCTCAAACTATAACATAACATAAATTATAATAAATTCAGGAGTTTGATTCTTTATGCATGTTTTCTACCCCACTGTTTGTGCTGAGTACCATTAAAACACAGGAGCTGATGATTGTCAGGTATTTAGCATTTGTAGCTAGCTTTCAGTGGGTTGTTTATTTTACCATTAGACTCTAACTCATATATTATTCCAAAGGTTGTTTGATTGACAGTTATTTTTTTTTTCCTGCAACGTTTCACTCAGTTAATAAAATACTTCTTATATTTAATAGTATTAGCATGCCACCTTTATTTTGAAATTCAGCTTCACTGGAAAAATGTAAAACTGCTTCCCTGCTGAGCTTTTGGCATAAAAGTCTTAATCCTCTTGGTATCAATTATGGCTGAACCAATGGTTTAGCTTCTGCTTTATTCCTGTGGGTTCTGGTTAGAGAAAAAAGGGAACACTTGTAAGGATTTCCTTCAAACCTTTAATCTCTAAAGATGCGGTTCTACAGGGATGCTTGGGTATAGTAGCGCCTGAGAGAGGTATATTGAATAATGTGATGCCTGAGTTTGATGTCTGACCGATTTTTAAAGGGGAGGAATGTGGGCCAGAGACCACCATGCAGTGAATTAATCCTGTAAAGCCTACTACTCTACGGAGTTCAGAGCCTCTACATAAAGTACAGCTTATTGAGATGCAACTCATAGCCTTTTTCTCTTCATTAGTTTCTGTCCTGAGGAGGAAAATGCCCATGGCTCTCCCAATTTTTCTAAGTGGTGAATAAATGATAAATGTTTTGTATTCTAAGTAGCTTTAAATGTCCATTGCAAAAATGTTTATACTTCTTGAATGTTTAGAGCTCTTTTAGATCCATTAACTAACAATAGAAAGATGGATGGAAAACCTGTACAGGCTGCAAAAAAACTGCTGTCTGGGGTAAAGGTTTACCTTCCAGCTGAACAACAACCCAAACATACAGCCAGAGTTATAATGTAATGGTGTAGCTAAGTGTTTCTTTACCCAGAGTTCCTCTTGTTTTACATGCTCCATCACGCCTGGTTCGAAACACCCAAGTCTTGTTAGTTGGTCCTTTCAGTATGCAGACATAAATCCACTGGGAATCAGGCATACAACTTATAGACCTGTGTGAATAAATGGTTTCTATAGAATATGACTGAGATTTGAAAGAAAGGAGATAAATTCAAGGTTTGTTGTGTGCAAAGCTGGTAGAGACATCAGCATGAAAAGTTCTTCTGTAATTACTGCGAAACCCGATTCTACAAGGTATCGAGTCGGGAGCGTCGAATGCAAACGCATGATATACTGTTTACATTTTATTTATGAAAGATTTGAAACCCATGTGACTTTTTTTTGTGCTCTACTATTATGCTCTACATTTTGTTGGTCTGTGTTTAAAAACCTACTAAACAACATGGATGTTTGTAGTTGTCTCATTAAAAAGTGAAAGGCGTGTGAAGACTTTTACAAGCTGCTGTATTTTCCATCGCAACATTTCAGTTGATTTAAAAAAATAAAAGCATTTAAATGTTTTAGGAACATCTTGTCCTCCACATTCTTACACCCTTTCTTTGTCTGCTTTCCATGCAGCTTCACTCAAACTCAGATAAAGGCGATGGATCCGTCCGATACATTCTGAGTGGAGAGGGAGCCGGGTCTATATTCATCATCGACGAGGTGACGGGTGATATTCATGCCACCAAGAGCCTGGATCGAGAGAGGAAAGGACATTATGTCCTGCATGCTCAAGCCTTGGACCGCAACACGCAGGAGGCCCTGGAACCGATGTCGGAATTCATCATCAAAGTCCAAGACATCAACGACAACGCACCTCAGTTTCCAGATGGACCCTTTGTAGCTACGGTGCCTGAGATGTCTGAAGTGGGTGAGTAGTGCAGCTTAATAACCTGGAGCTCTACATGATTGTCCTCTCTTGTCAATTGCCATAAGTCAGAGAGAGAGAATGGAAAAGACAGTCAGAAATGAACTTGAGTGGTTTTATTTGCTACTTTTTATGTAACACTCATGCCATCATTACGTTTGTGCTCTGCAGTAAAAAGGGAAAATATCAAGGGAGGACCTTTGGCTTCACCCTTGTGTATAATTTAAAACTACTCAGAGTAAAATGCCCCAGTGGAAAAGACGGTATTAATGTGAAAAAGTGCAATCAAACATTTACCCTGTGCTGCATTCTGGTTTGACAATCTTCTCCAGTATGTTTGATCTTTTCTAAGCCCGAGTCCTCTTTTTCATCTCTCTCTCTCTCTCTTGGGTGGGCAGGTCTTTATGAGCACTCAATAGTGCCTCCACCATCACCACTGCAGAGTTACCCCCACACTACGGAGGAATGTAAAGCCTCCAACCTCTTTCGCTGAGACAGCCACTCTTCTCATGCCCTAGCATCATGTGGCCAAACATCCATGTTTTATTTCTTTTTTTTTTCTGCTTCCTTTTATAGCTCGGGTGAACAAAAGCTGCTGCTTTTTTTTGTTTTTTTTTCTCAGTCCAGTGGATTTTGCCTCACGGCACAACAGCTTTAAAATATGACGCTCTAATACTTTAAAATGATATGTTGCTGGCCCAAACTGCAGCCAAACTGCTGTCAGAGTGATTTTGCTTCAAATGCAACATAAAGAAGCAGGTTTGTGGAACTGACAGTGAGGTGGAAGCATCCCGTTTATTTCTGTCCTGTATAAAATCACCCACAGAAATATATCAGAGGATGAACGGCTTCATCTGGGTCGGAGGAGATGCAGGAATCCGATTAAACATGCAGAGCTCGACAGGTCTGTCAGAGCCCTCTTTATATACGGTCAATATCTCGATGGTTGCTGTCATGAATATTCATGAGCAGGCCAGACCTGATGCACACAGAGCTCTGCTTGTTACTGTGTAGGTTTCTGACTAAAGCATGTCAAATAAATGTTTCATAATCGCAGGTGATAAATATTTAGGTGTTGGTTTAGGGATAAATGTGTTGGGTACTACCAGGGGAGAGAATCATACATTTTTAACCAACTGTGAAGGAGTTTAATTTTTCTATCCTGACCTCTAGATTGAATGGAAAGCAAAGTGGCTGTGTTATGCAAAAGTATTTATACCGTCTCTGCTTTATTACATACATGATGATGTCGGAACTACAAATTTACAAGTACAGTGCTGGAAAACAATAGTTAGACCACTTAAATATTTATTCAGTTTTGGGGTTTTTTGGTCACAGTTCAGATTATTAAACTGATTTTAATAGCCGATAACTAGAATGGATACATTCACCATCAGGTGAATTAATTAGAGGTTATTTAATTAAGAAGTCAAGCATAACCAAGGACTGCATATTCTTAGACCTGTTGAACCAAGACTGATTTAAATCAGGATTTCTGCAGGTTTTACTAACTCAAATTTAAGACTTTTTAAGACCGCTATGAATGAAATGTAAAACTTGTATCACAACAGAAATCTACAAAAGAAAACCGCAAAATTGTATATTTCAGTAGTGCCTGGCTTTTTAGTAAGGAATGCATGTAGAGTTGTACGGGTTGGAAACAACAGAGGCGGAGAAGAATGTCATCCAGCCAATTAAAACTATTTATCTAGCTAACAAGGGTTTATTAGCGGCTAGTTAGCAATAGCCACAACCGACTATGAAGATGTCTGTGCGTGACTCAAACGTTTGCTTGACAGAAAAGTCCTGTGAGAAAAATAAACTACGTAGAGTGCAAGGTTAAATAGTCTGTTGAGTTTTTCTTAAACTCAACAGTTTGGTTTTATAATTTCAGCCACTTGGTGTGAACACATACTGGGAGAGCTTGTGTGAGATTTAAATGCTAACTTCCCAAATTCTTTGTTCACATAGACGCATGCAGTCACAGCAGTCTCACAGCACGCTCAGAACAGTGGCACAAATGTAATACCATAAAGTTTTTAACTAAATGCATAAAACGTGAGGGTGTTTAATCCTGTCACCGGGAAAAGTGAAGGGTGTTAAAACACGGATGTGACGTCCGTGTGAAGGTGACACCGACGACTCAACTGGCGTTACCTTAAAAAAGACGTGTCTGCTTCAAAACCATCCAATATGGCTGAAATGAAACAATTCTGCAAAGACAAGAGGGTAAAATTTATCCTCCGTCATGTAAGAAACACTTGATGGCAGGTGATGTTCAGAGGACAATTACCTGTTTGTGCATTCAGGTTCTTTGATGCAAACATTTTGCGCCCTGAAAAACATGCAAGTGTGACAAACGATAGCTGCAGATTGTTTTCACTTTGCAGGATTCCCTTTCAAACTATGTTAAAGTTTAAGGTTGTGGGTGTCAATACTTCAGAATGTCTGTTTTCTTGAGTTAATCTCTCAGTTTTCATCCTTACCTATTCCAAGGTTTTGGCACAAACTCAATCATCAGTTGCATGTGATAAAATCAATCACCACTGACATCCCAAAGAAATAAGTCATTTTTACCCAGTGATGGGTAAAGCAATTATCCTTTTTGCCCGCCCCCATTATACTTTTGCCCATGGTCATTAAAGTAAATCGGCTTCAGCCGAGTGTCTTCAGCGTCAAATCGGCTGTAACAATCAACTGTCCTCACACTCCACAGCACTAATCCCCCCTCCACATTTGTCAATACTAAATCTCCTAAGTGTAGGAATGGTCTGTGTTGGACTGTGGCAGCTAATTGCTTGTGATGTTCCTTTTCCCCCCGTCTTAAATGATTAGCTGGGTACATGTCAGGTAGTTCAGCTGCATGATCTTTACTATATTCACTGGGGACATAGTATTGTAGTGAGTGCTGGTTTAAAGGGGATCAAGTCAGCAGTATTTGTTTTCCAGCAGTGGTTTAAAGATGCATTTAGCTTCTGTGACAAGATGAAAAACGACTGAAGGATCATAAGATCGAGGGAGAATAATCTGTGTCAAGAATTTCAATCAGAAATGTTGATGCGCTTGTTGGATTTAAGCTTGTGGGTGGGAATGAAAACTTCAAAACACAAAGGAAGATCTTGAGCACGGCTAAAGGAGTGCTAGGCACATGAATATATTCTTCCTAACCAGCTGCGTGTTATTTGGCACTCTTTTGCTGCAAGCATTAACTTTTT